CAGAGCGGTCCTATTTATCCGGCCGGAGTACAAGTCTATACGTAAACGCGCGCGGAAGGTCTGGGGTTTATTATCGCCGGCGGTGGCTCGGCGCGCTATAAAGTTGGCAGGCCTGATTCTATCTCCTCGAGCTCGCCGGAAGCGGCATTATTTAGAGCCGGCTAGGGGACCTGGCGGTTGGCACGACTGCAACCCAGCAAGACCTAGAAAACCCCAAACGCCGGTACCGTTTAACCCCCACCCCTCAATAAACAACCCCATTCCTTACGATACCAACTATTCAAAATAAAAAATCCTCTTAAAATCTGGGATTTCATAAATTACGATCCCACGTTTCGGTGGGGAAATCCCGGAAGATATAAATCCGTAATCACTGTACGAGGTCGAGGGTGGGTGCGAAACCGGCGGCGCGGTCGCGCGCGGTTTCGCACCCCCTTAAACGATTTCGACATCGCGTTTGAGGGCGCCTGGGGGGAGGGGGGGGGGCGGNGATACGTTTGAAGGTTGAAGTTTGAAGTTCAAGGTTTGAGCACGAACCCATGGACGCGCGGCGTCGATACGCTTGAAGGTTGAAGTTTAAAGTTTGAGCGCGAACCCATGGACGCACGGCGCTGATACGCTTGAAGGTTGAAGTTTGAAGTTCAAGGTTTGAGTGCAAACCCATGGACGCGCGGCGTCGATACGCTTGAAGGTTGAAGTTTAAAGTTTGAGCGCGGACCCATGGACGCGCAACGGCGATACGCTTGAAGGTTGAAGTTTGAAGTTCAAGGTTTGAGCGCAAACCCATGGACGCGCGGCACCGATACGCTTGAAGGTTGAAGTTTGAAGTTCAAAGTTTGAGCGCGGACCCATGGACGCGCGACGCCGATACTCTTGAAGGTTGAAGTTTGAAGTTCAAAGTTTGAGCGCGGACCCATGGACGCGCGGCGCCGGTACGCTTGAAGGTGGAAAAGGTTGAAGTTCGCGAGCCCTGAACGCACGAAAAGGAGGATGAGGTCGGCGAAGGTGCGCTCCGGCGGGAGGATGAAGATCGAAGTCAACCTTCGAAGTTCGCCGGAAGTTCGGGCAGTGCGTCGACCCGAGTCGTGGGGCCGAGGTTGAAGTTCGGGAACCAGGCGACCTAGTGAAGGTTCGCAGGGTGTTAAAAGGTTGAAGTTACGGGGAAGAATGGCGAGAGAGGAGATCGTTAAGAGGAGAGAGATCATTGTAGAGAGCAGAAACGTGGCTTCGACCTCCTGCGAAGGTTTAGAGAAGGTTCGGAGAAGGTTGAAGTTCGAAGGTCTCGAAAACGGCGATGAATATCTATGCCTATCCCTATGTCTATCCCTATAGACGTTTCCGGTGCCGCAGGGAGGTCTCTAATGACTCGGAGGAAAAGCGCAACAGTAACTCGCAGCTTCGTAGGTTAAGTCGAGAAGGTTGAAGTTCCCGAAGGTTGATTAGGTTCAGCCAGTTACCTGGTGAGAACGGGCGACGGAAGGGCCGGCGTTAACCGCGAAGTCCGGAACTTCTCTCGCGTAGCGAGGAACTCCCCATTGGAGTAGGTCGTCCAGTTCGAAGTTCCGGGAAGTTCGAACCTTCAACCTCCTGCTCCCTATCGATCCCGAAATTTCTTTTTCCGTTCGATGAGCGATCGAGCGAGGCTTCGCATTTCTCTCCGGCCTCGATCGATCAACTCGAGAGAGCGGAAAAGTTTCCGCGACAACTTCACCTCCAACTTCAACCTTCAACCCTGAAGTCCGGTAATTGAATCGCGTCGGATCGGTCAACCCGGTTGCGTGCGATATTGCGCGGTGAATCTTTCATTTCGACCTCTTTCTGCGTCGGATCGATCGGACCCCCCGCAAAGCTCGACCGTGGGGAACTTCGTTCTAGGTCGAAGTGCCCGTAGATTGGCGAACTTCACCCTCCGCCCACCAGGCGTTTACTTACAGCAGACAGGGCGGAATCGCGAGAGGCGAAGGAGCGTCGTCGAAGGCTCCTAAATAAATCAGACAATAAATAAACAAGCTTGTCCGGGCCGAGGGAAAACTCGATCGCGTCACCCCCTCGAGCTTTTCCGCCCACCTCGAGCTTTTCCGCCCCCCGGGGATCCCCGCGCAAACGGATGGAGCGAGCAAACACATGGGCCTCTTCTAGAGTAGACCCTCAGTTCGGGTAGATGAAGTACAGGAAGTCCATGAAGTATATACATAAAGAAGTACGATTGTCCTTCCGAGGTCCGGCAGATTAATCGGGAGGGGGCGGCTAAATAAATCCGTAAATAAATAAGGAAGTTCGACCTGGTCGAAAAGTCCCCCAGGGGATTTCCGGCGGGACCGCGGAGAATCCCGAGCTCGTAAAAATGGCCGGTAAATAAATAAAAGCTCCGCCGGATGAATAAATTCACGGGGACGAGGCCGGAGCTTTTTAATAATGAACCGCCTAGAAGAGGGGAGAGGAAAGAAAAGCAGGAAGATCCCGCAAGATAGGGAACAAATACCCGGGACGAAAATCCCGGAAGCCGGGGGCCGAATGGCAAGTCGGCCGCGTGCGGAAACGCACGCGGAACAAATGAACGAGCGGGGATAAACAAATGAGGCAGCCTGGATAAATAATTCCAGGAGGGCCGCGGACCCTCCGAGGCGGTTGCGGATCCGGCGCGGCCATTCCGCCGCGGCCGGAAGGGAGCGGCCGCATTGAAGCCGCGTCGCGGCGTCGGCCGGGGGAACTTTAATCCGCGCCCGCGTCCCGGGGTTAATGCGGCGACCGCGGCCGGCAAATCGCGCGGAATTCCCCCCCTCCGGTTTTTCCGCAACGAGCTCACCGAGAGTAATCGGTTCGAATAAAGGAAGCTCCCGGGATTATTCGCCCCGGCTCGAGTGACCCGATATCGGGGAGCCCGACTTTTCCGGGCGGATGTCTCCTCGACTTTCGTTTTTCCGCCCGCCCGGCTTTTTCTCTACCCTGGAGGACCATTGCACTTTGCAAGCTGATTCGCCGGGCGCTCGAGTGGAAATGAGAAATTCGATTTGATATCGAAAAGTGGAGAGGGGAAAAAGAAGACCCGAGTAAACGCGGACGCCCCGCCCGGGTTTCGCTTTTTCCGCCCAGGGCGACTTCCGGGGGAGGTCAAGAGCGCCGCGACATTTTCCCGACCATTTTCCGACCTTCTCTACACTTTTTCGAGAATCCCCGCTTGTCTCCGCGTCTATCCGATTAGTCGGCCAAGATGAGCGAAAAAGCAGATGGGCGGAAAGCTCTGAAAATAGCAAAATCGCGACCATTTTCCGATTTTTTCGCCGATTTTCCAACACTTTCTCGAAAATCCCCGTTTGTCCCCGCGTCTATTTGATTCCTCCGCCAGTGGGCGGAAAAGCGGGCTGGCGGAAAGCTCTGAAAATATCAAGACGGCGACCAATTTCCGGCTTTTTCTCCGCTTTTCCGCCACTTTTTTCGAGAATCCTCGTTTGTCTCCGCGTCTATCCGATTCCTCCGCCTGCGGGCGGAAAAGCGAGCCGGCGGAAAGCTCTGAAAACAGCAAGATCGCGACCATTTCCGGACTTTTTCTCCGCTTTCCCGCCACTTTTCTCGACCATTCCCGTTTGTCTCCGCGTCTATCCGATTAATCCGCCAAGATGGGCGGAAAATCAGGCGGGCGGAAAGCTCCGAAAATAGCAAGATGGCGAGGATATTCCGGGCCGAGTTCAGCGTCCCGGCAATATTTCACCACGAATCAATAGCCGTGCCCGATTACCGCTGCGTTTCCGCGACGAGGCGGCTCCGAGCTTGCGGGAGTGCGTCGGAGGTCGGCCACGAGCGAGCTTGCGGAGGGTGTGCGGTTTCCGGCAAAGGCCCGAAACAGAAGCGAAAGAACGGCCGAGCCGACAGGTGCGGCCGCGAATCGGCCGCAAGCTCGGGAGAAAAACCCATCCCGCGGAATCGCGGCGGCCAGTTAAGCAAGCTTGCAGTTTCCGCAAGCCCTCCCACGCGATGAATACGCGCCGGGTAATTATTAAAAGGAAACAGAATAAAAAGTCAGCCGCACAAGAGCCGCGCCGAGTCGAGCTTGCAGATGCACGACCTGCGGGGGTGAAAACGCATACGTTTCCGTGTACCGACGAGAAGTTCGGGTTTTATATAATATATAGAACGATGTTGGGGGGGGGGATGGAACTTGCCGGGGTTGCAACAAGTTGCGTTTAAAATCCGCCGACCTGCCGGCTTTTCAAACCACCCCCCGCGAAGGCCGCACGTATCACTGGGGATCCCGTTGCGAGTGTCGCCCACCCACCACCCCCCGGGAAAACTTTTTCCGCCCGCTTTCCGCGCGTACCCGGAAAAAGGACGAGCCCCGAATCGAGTGATAACGTCTGATTATATTCGCAGGGATTTAATCACGCCCGATGTCGGGTCATTCGCGAGGAGTAACGACGCTTCGAGGAGCTTTCGCGCTTTACGAGCCCCCTCCCCCCCCGCTCTGACCCCCCGCGAGGCCGGACGGCGGGGCAACTTCCTCGGGTTTATGGAAGTGCGCCCGGAAGTTAAGAGCTTGCGGGCCTAGGGCTTGATGAAAATGGCCACCGTCCTGAACCCTCGGCGGACCCCCTGGCGAAGGCCGGAAATGTCAAAGAAATAAATTGATATACACATAGGGAGATAAAAATCCAACGCGATAGGACCTCGGCGCCATTCTTCTCCTTCTCTTCGTAAAGAGAAAAAAAAAAAGGGGAGAAAATATATGCATTGTTTTTCGAAAATGCGTATACACGGAATCCTTCGGAAATTCTCGAATCCGCCCACAGAGAGGCGTCGTCCTGCCGTCGGTGACGTCGGCGACGGAGGTTCTCGAGGAAGTGGACAATCGACATCGCCATCTGGGAGGCGGTCCCTGGAACGGAGGAACCGGGTGCAGCCGATAGGTCCTCCCGTAAGGGCTGAGGGCCCGGAGGAGAGTAAAGGTGGAGTGAAAAGTTGTTCCCGGATCGAGTTGTTCCGGGGCGCAAGAGGGGCCGAGAGTAGGGCGGCCAGGATGGATCTACTTTTACTGCTGCTCGTACTTCTGCTGCGGCGAGAGGGTGAGACCAACTTTCTTTATCGATGAACTTCCCTAAGCCGGGATTATATCACTAAGAGGAAGAGGGCCCCCCCCGACCGGAGGAGGCCCCAGCAAGGGGTGGTCCCCCTCAGTCAAAGGATCCCAAAATTCCCACCAAACTTTATACAACGGGCCATTTCGATCTTCCATTTTGACTTTTCATCCCGACTTTACTCAAAAATCCTAGGGGATGATTGATGAACTACCCCTGGTACCAAAAGGGGGTGGCGGGGGGCGGACGTGAGTCGCCCAAACGGAGTATTCGTGACTCCCAGGGGGACTTATCCAGCCATCTGCGGGGGGCCAGGGTGACGTGACTCGTGAAAAATATTACGATCGCCCCCCACCACCCCCCCATCACCCCTTTCGACCCGCGTGACCTAATCGATCTCTCGGGTCGACGGCAATTCGTCTTGACCGATCGAATCGCCGTGGACGTATCACGCACCCCCCCGGGGACACCCCCCCAGGAACACGACGGCGACCCCTCGAGCTTCACAGATTTAAAGGGAAAAAGCTCGCGAGACTCCAGAACCGAAAATCCGAGAGTCATCCGAGGGCCTGGGGGGGGGTTGAAGGGTGGAAGCTTCCTAAAAGAGGGGGAAGGCGGAACTTCGCGACCAGCTCTGGGCGGAAAGCTCGCGGGCAATCGAGCTTTTTCGAAACGGCACTCGGCACCAATTACCGCCTCGTTTGTGCGAGCTTTCCTCCTCCCTTCCCCCCCTACCCCCTACCCCCGTAAACTCTGTGCAACGCGTTCGGAAAAGAGCCTTTGCGCGTAGAAGTGTTACTCGCGGCTGGTAGGGGGGGGGGCGGGGGGGACCCCCTTGTTTCGAGCTTTCGCTGAGCGGCACAATGGGAGCTTTGCTTACTTCCTTCCTGCGATTTCGCCGCCACGTGCCGACACCCCCCCCCCACACACACACACATTTTCCCGGGACCACTGGCCAACCTTTAGAGGTGGAGGAACCTCCTCCACCTTTTTTTCCGCATCGATGGCGAGCTTTCTGTGTCTACTCCCGGGGATGGTGAATAAAGAAAGGTGGATATCCGAAAAGCTCGAGGTACTCCGTTCTTGAGGAGCGATCGGCAATGGGGTGGATGGGTGTACATGTGTAGGAGAGGAAGGAAAGGGGTAGGAGGATGGGGGGGGCAGGGCACGGTGAAAAATGTCGGGAAATAAGCTCCCGTGGGGAATGGGGCAACGGGGGGAGGCGGTACTCCTACATTTGCCCGGGCGACGGGGAAAATGAAAAAGCGGCCGAAGTAAGTGCGCCCCGCCATACATACCAATATGGCGGCGGCCGCGGACCGATATGAAATTTTAAGATCGAAAGCTCGCCGATGAGCTTAGCATAAATAAATAAAAGATGAGGGGGAGCCGGCGTGCCGGCCGCCCCCCTGGGGCCGGCCCCCTGCTCCTTTGCCTCCTCCACCCCCCAACCACCCACCGTGGGTTTCTCGCGCCCTTCACAAAACATGAGCTTTTCCGCCGCGGAAACTGCGCGGGGGTGGAGGGGGAGGAGAGGGGCAGAGGGGTAGAGCGACTCCACCTCTCGCGCGCGCCGGAAAAGTGAAGCTTTCCAATTAAGGGCACCCTTCCGGGAGTTTAGACGCGGAGCTTGCGGCAAAGGGTTGCAAGCTCTCTCTCTCTCTCTCTTTCGCCCTAAGCTCGAGTACTGTAGATACGTCTCGGGGTGGGGAACCGGGAGGGGGTTCCGCCGGTCGCACGCTTGACTCTCAACCCCTTTTCAAAAAAGCTCCCCTCGGGGGAGCCGACGGAAAAGTGCCGCGAAGGCGTCATTTTTTGAGGGGCTTTCCACGGATACGGGAAAGGGGAGGGGGCGACGCGTTTTGCCGCCGCGCAAGCTCGGAATACCCGTCGCGAGAACCGCGCCGGAAAGGCCGCGCCGCAACAATTAGAGAAGCTCCCCTTTCGCCCGGGCCGGAGGGAGAAGCGCGTGTCGCCGGAAAGCGGGGAAAAAGGAAGAGGTTGGGAAAATTGGCGAGGGGCCGGGCGACACGCACGACTGGGAAAGCCGAGCTTCTCGCGAGCTTTCCCGGCCGCCCCCAGAGGGCCAGGGCGAATTGCGAGCGGGTTGCACCTGTGCCACCGGACACCTGCGGTCGGCCCCGCACCTGCCGGGGTCCTCTCCTTTGAGATACCCTGCCTCGCCTCCCGGGGAAATTAGCCCCCGATTAGACTCGGTTTATCGCGGAAAAGTGGAGCACCGTGGAGGGGCTCCCTAGGGGGTGGCTCCCTTCCGTTTGCACCCCGGATCGAGGGGGGGCTCCTATTCTACTCCCACCTGAGGCAGGTGCCTCTTATAGGGCGTCGCGCGGAAGGGGGTCTCGCGTCAACCCTTTCCGGCCTGAGAGAAAAAAAGATGAAAAAAAGAAGAAGAAGAAGAAGATGGAAACTCCACGAGGAACAGTTTGTCAATTCGAGGGATGAATGAAACTCACCCCACTGTGGATGCAAATAAATCTAAGGAATAATTGTTTCGCCCGAATGTGCTTGAAATAGATCCACGGAAGATTTTCATAATTCGGGGGATAATCATTTCACCCAGATCGTCGGAAATGAATCCAAGGAATATCTCGCTGGTTCAGGGAATCATTATTTCATACGAAGGAACTCTAAATCAATTGTCGCAGTTCCGGAGGGACGTTGCGCGCAATTTATTCCAGTTTGGGTATAGTAATTACTCGACCGAGCATCTCTTTGGTACTGGTCGATGAAATACCTCTGCGGTTTGGTGAAAAACTTCGATGAAAAGGGATATAATAATTCTCCGTCGGATCGACCGGATGTCTCTTTGGCACTGCTCGATGAAACGTTTCTGCGGTTCGGTAACAAATTTCGATAAAATGGAATATAATAATTACTCATCGAATTAGCGAGATATCTCTTTGGTACCGGTAGATGAAATACCTCTGGCTGGTCGATGAAAAATCTCTTCCATCACCCCGGGGACACGGAGATGCGTCTCTCAGGTCGGCCGGTACTCGGGGCTCCCTCTTGGATGCACTTCAAGATGCACTCCTGGATGCACTCGGCCCTCTGGCCGACTGGCCACCCTTAAACCGCGGCAAAATTGGGATATTCGCGTAAACGCGACCTAAGACTCGCGAGCCTGAAGGGCCAGCCTTAATTAAGCCGACCCGGAAGCGCGAGGCGGGACCGGAAGTGCACTTATGCGCAAGGAGTGCAAGAGCTTAGGGCCTGCACATTCACGTGGTAAAATTAGAAACGAATCAACTGCCCCCAATTCTAATAATACTTTCCCCAGAAATTACATTTTTTTTCTTGACTTTTATATATATATATATAACATTTTACATATACATTTCATAAATATATATAAAATATATACATGCATCTATGCATATACATTTGCATCTATGTACCCCTGCACCGATCGGGAATCCATTAAGAGGATATGAAAGAGTCAGCCTATATATATAGGGGTACATAGGTGCATAGGTGCATAGGTGCACGTATGCACCTATATGCACCCCTCGGAGGGAATCGAGGGCTCCTTCAGGATGGGCAAAGACAATATATATATATATTCGGGACTGCACCGAGAACTGCACTGGCACGCGTCCTGGCAACAGGAGAGGGACCCTCCCCCCGACGGGGGGGCAAAAGGAACCGAAAGGAAGAAGGAGGAAGGGACTTCGAGCACCTGGCCGCGGTCCAGGATAATCCGGAATTCCGCGAGCGCGACGTCAGCAAGAACCTATTTTCCCCCCTGCCGATGCATCAGCCCCCCTCCCCCCTTTGATCGCTCTTTAAGTGCATTCCCCTTCTTACCTCCGGGGAATCCCGGGAAAACCTCGTTTCGTTTAATTTTTTTTTGTTCATCTTCGTTTTTTTCGTTCTCTCCGTTTCCCTCCTTTGGAAAACAATTGGGAGAACGCACCGCTCCGCTTTAATTTCGGGGAGAGCGGTTTGATTGCGGAGGATTTTAGAGAGGGGTGGGAAAGGGGCGGAAAGGGGGTGGTGGAGGTTTCCCTTTCCAGAGGGCGCCACTCGTTTTGCCGGGGTCCCATCCCCGCCGCCGCCGAAACGCCGCGTTTCTGCCCGTTCAATTCCGCGACTCGTCGCGTTTATCGAGTTGTCAATGATCGAGGGGGTTGGGGGAGGTGGAGGAGATCGGAAGCGACCGGATGTCCGGAACATTGACGGCCTCCTCATTGGTCCGCTCTTTCATCCCCCTTTTGGCCGGCGAGCCTTTGTAATGGAGGAGGAAAAAATGGGAATCTGTCAATGTCGGACGGCTCGCCATACCTTGTCCGCGGTGGAGGCTCGAAAGGGTTGACAAATCGCCGAGCGGGGTGAAATCGCCGAGCGGTTCCGCGATACCGCGCCACCGGGTCGGCTCCACCCTTGAAGTCTTCCCGTTTCGAGAAATTGGGGGGAGGAAGTCGAATTGAACCGGAAGTTGGGGGTGGGCGACGTCCGTTTTGGGGGAGGTTAAGGATATTCGGGCTTCGAGGATGTGGGGTAGGTCCAGTCGCCGTGGGGGGTGGTTTCCCGGGGTCGGGTGGTTTTCCTGGTGTCCCCCTCCGACCCCTGCGGAAATCGTCTTCATCCCCATCGCGAACGGGACCGGCGGGGTGCGGTAAGAAAAGCGGGGAAACGCAACTAGTGGCTGTTTAGGGGGGCGCGGGGTCGGCATCGGGGCCGGGGGAAGCGTTTTCCGCAACCCCTCCCCGAGATTTCCTGACTAACCTCGTCGACGACGCAGCGACGACTTCCGGCGCGCCCCCTACTCCCCCTCCCGGGGGGAGGAATTAACTTACAAACGCCTCGCGAGGTCCCGCGAACTGCGTTTTCCGCATTATCGGCCTCGGGAATTATATCCCGCTAATGGCCGCATCCGTCGAGGCTCCGCGGAGACACCACGCGCTGAGACGAGTAGCCGTCTATCGCAACATGGTCCGGGGACTCGAAGATCTGCGGAAATCGCA